TATTCTTCCCTCCTTCCTTCCCATCTCCCTCTCTTCCTTCCTCCCTCTGTCCCATCCAACCTTTACTTCTGTTAGAGTACTGCTGAAGGACAGAAGGGAGAGGAGGAGTCCTCACCCTTTTCCCTGATCCGATACCTGCCCTTCCATCCCTGGCTGTGGGATCATTCCCACTTGCTGCACAGCAACATCCCAGCTCCAGCYTCCTTGGCCTCCTGGGAATCCGAGTGTCAGGTGTGAGGTAGCTCAGCCAGCTGTGCCATCCTGGGATTTCAGGGTGTTTGTGCTGGGTCAGTCATACAGAATGAGCAGGAGGTGAGTTGAGGGTCAAACCCCAGATTTAGAAATGCACAGTCTTAGTCAGAGCGCAACCTCGGTCTCTGTGGAGTAAAAAGACTCCTGAGTAACAGTAAAATAGGAACTGCCTGTCATTACCAAGCAGTAGGATGAGATCTGCAGGGAGGACAGTTTTCACCGTCAGGAGATGGGGTGTATTTAATGTATGGATAAGGAACAATTGTGCCGGGCTGTGACTCTGCTGTGATAAGCCAGAAGTTTCATCACCAGATTYTATAATGCAGAAACTCTTAAAAGAGTGTCCTTCCTAAGTGTCCTTCCATTTGCTCTGCTTCACAGTTCAAACTAAAATATGCTGCGGAAAACTGTCCATCTTGTCAGAAGCTGGCATTTTTAAAAGCAAAGAGTAGTAATGTAAGAGTGATTTGTCTCTCCGGAAACATTACCTTTTGATGATTAGATAACAGTAGAATAACAGAGATCTTTTGAGGCATTTATGCAAAGAGGCTTGTTGTTAAGCCCCGAGTACAGTCTGAATTCAAAAGGCAAGATCAGGGTGCTTTTTGACTTCCTCTGTCCTGTGGTTTGTGTATCTCAAGACGACAGCTGTAGATCAGAGGACTGACGTGCTCTTGGCAAGTGATGGGTGTTTGTGAGCAGGAACTTCCTGGGAGATATTGACCTGGTCACGGGCAGCTGCTCGGAAATTTGTKAAGTAATCTGTCTAATATGTCCAAGGAGTAGCATATCTGCATCAATCCATCCAAATGCCTCAGGAATATCAATAAAGAGATAATAAATCTGATAATTCTCTGTGATCTGCTCTGGTGTGAAGCTACTGGGGAAGCCTTGTACAATATGAAGATTAATTCTAGTACCCATTTATTAGGGTGAAAAATGCTCCATGCCAGAACTGTGGCTGGTGAAAAATTCATTTCAAATTAATTTCAAACTTTATTTTCTAAAATAATCTGCTGTCATAAAACTGAATGGCAACCAATGGCAATTGCTGAGGATGTTTTCAAAAGGGAAATAGAATCCAGGTTTACAGAGTTTTCCAGTTTTTTTTTTTTTTTTTTTTTGCTTTTGTGAATCCCTCCTTTAATTTCTGTTCAGCAAAAAAACATGGCTTTCTTTGCTTGTTCTAAATTTTAAACCATAGTAATGATAACAATAAACCATTCAGTATAACAATGTAAAGAGGTAATAAATATATTTAAATAGTTAATATCCTTCCCTGATTAGGTACATTAGTTATAAATCTTTTGTGAGAAGGAAAAAAAAATTGTCCTTTCAGGCACAGTCCTGAAAGTCAATATTTTTTTGTTTCCTTCAWTGATGGTAGACATAAAATCAAGTATATAGTCTATAAATTATGCCATACATAATTTGTTTAATTTTTTCTCTGTCACACCCTCTCAGACACTTTTAGGAAAGAATCCCAGCACTTCTGATTCTGACTTAATTAATCAAATTAATTCGCTAGTACTTTAGTCTATATCTTGGTCAGTAACAGAAATTTGTATTTATTTATAAAATAAAGAGCAGAAAGGAGGAGTTGAAGTTTCAATTTACAAAAAGAAAACTGAGCAACTATTACTTCACACAAAATACTGTTTTCACAATTTGAGTCTGCTAAACTGGAGCATTTGGATTGCAGACTTCTTAAAATTTTATAGATTTTTTTAATATATATTCTTAAATTTTTGCTGGACAAAAATCTGACTGTGCCTTGAAATCAAACAGTGCTCTTTATCCTCTGCTCATACCACCATCCTAYCATAGTATCTGCCTTCTGTAAATCTAGATAAGGAAAAAATTGTGTTGAAAGCAAAGTAGGTGGTGGAATCCAAGCATCCCATTGCCCTCTGACAGTGCAATCTTGCTCCTCAGAAGCACAAGCTCTGCTGATGCCACTTTGTAGACTCCTCTGCACCGACTCTTGGAAAAGAGCAAGATGACTACAATGCCTGTTCAGCCAGTGGTGGCTGTTCAACACTGCACCACATGTATTTTTCAGAATATCCATTTTCCCCCATTTTGTAAACATTTTGGACAGACCTGTGATCTTTTTTTCTTTTATGCCCATTCTTTAGAAAAAACTTGCCTCTCTCCTTCATGTGCTTCTCTGGTGTGTGGCTGAGAAGATGCAGCCCAGAGAATGTGGTTGAGGGTTCACCTCTTCAAGGGAACAACTAATACAGGACAGGGTCACAAGATGATTCGAAGTCAGACCAGGCTGGGAGATAACCTTATCTTTCCTTTAGCAGATSGTTCAATCCATGGAATCCTTAAGCAGAGCTTGAAGATTTTATTCAACTTTTATCTTAATTTGGAAGGCAGCAGGCCATGCTTGTTTCATTGCAGTTTTTTCCTATTACAYTTACCTTAAATAAGAGGTTCTTCTCATTCCCTATGCAGGGGAAGAATTGTGAGAGCATTCAGCATTAAATGTCTCAGTATCATAAAATTGTGTTCTGGTGTTTTTTCCCATCCCATGATCTCTGTTGTCTCTCACAGAATTTGCTTTTGTTTTGCTTTAGGAAGAAAAATTTCGATTCCCGTTGTAGCTTTTCTGACATCTGACAAGATATTATTTTCAGAGAGGTATTTTATAGCCCCTTATTAAAGACTTATACTTTACAATTTTGAATGTAACTTATAACTTCTTATTCTATGGATTTTAATCCAGCTTCATAATTGTTATATTAAATGTCAAGTTTGTTCTGCTWTGAAGTAGAGAGTGCTGGTGGGGCCTCATTTCAGGATATTCAAAGTGGATTTGACCAAAGTTCCTTGACACTGATTAATTTGTATCWAGTATTCTTCACAAATGCTTTTCTCCTGAAAGATCTGATTTATTTTAGGGCAGAAGAACAGGTTTTAGGTTATTCTGTGCCTTTTATTSAGAGTGACTATCACTGTGATTGTGAATAGGGACATCAGGTTATGCAAAGGAGTAATGAAGGAGAAAGTCCTACTATGCTACAGCYATCGAGTTTTATGCTGAATGGCTACCAACTGAGGGAATGAAATTTCCATTTATTTCTTAAGCCACATAGCAAAAACAAAACCAGTTCCTGATGACATTAGAATATCTATTTCAAAGGTTAACAATGTTGCACAAAARTTAGTTGAAACACAAGAATTTTACTTATGCATGAGTTTGTGTGGTGGAGATATGTGTATACACTAATAAGGAAAAGTACTTAAAAGCATGTCAGGCTTGTTTTCATGTTTGGATCCCATCTTCAGTGTGTCCATGTCTGACAGTTTGAACCATGAATCTCTTGTGGTTTAGCCTTGTACCCATTAAGTAGATACCCAGACATAAAACACATTGGGACCAGTGTTATTTAATATCTTCATAAATGACAAATTATATTATTATTAATATTGGGATAATTTGCTCTCTATTTGTGCATACCTAAAATATGTATTACTTCCAACTGAAAAAGGAMTTCCTCTATTAGAAATAATTATTTAAACTCAGATACATGAATTATAAGAAAATAAAATTTATTTCTATTCTGCCAGTAGGTACTTGGCCTACAAACTTCTTAGAATAGATAATTGAAAAATATTTATTTTCTGTCTTCACTCATGGGAAGAACTTCAAATTCAAAAAGGCACTTTGTGCAAGATATTTTCTTCAGTCTTAAAACTATATARTTCAACTGTGGTCTTCATACCTTTAATTAAAACAGAGTGCTAGGGGGGTTCTGCTGCTCCAGACAAAGAGGTTAARAGAGATATGATATAATTTGTATTTAATAAAATAAATTATTAAATTAGTCTCTTGTAAAATCTTGTCACTCCATTGAAGTCATTCATGTTTACAAACTACCTTGAATTTGGCTGAAAATCTTGTGAAAAGAGAATGCCTGAAGATAATGTTATACATTTTGTATATTATTTTAAATTGGGTTTGTATTTCTTGTGGTCTCAGCTTGCATTAAAACAATCAGCTCCTCCCTCTCCAGTTTCCCTTTCTGTGTGTGTCCGTATTGATTATCTACAAGTCTGTGTGGATTTAGGAGCAGGGGTCAGTTTCCACTATGGTTAATGCATWATCAGAAAAATTAATGAAATTCCAGTTATACAACCGTAGATTAGACAAAGTTCACTTTTGTCTAATCCTAAGGTGCTTATTCTTCACTCTTGTACAATTTGGTGGTGGAATCACCATGCCTGGAGCTGTACAAGGTGCAACTGGACATGGCACTCAGTGCCATGGTCTAGTTTACAAGGTGGTGATTAGTTTTCAGCATAAATGGTTCTATGKGATATGTTGAAACTCTTGCAATGGTATTCAACATTATATTGTCGACTGGATACTTGACAAATAGATGGAAGCTGATAAATCTTCACTTCCCTTTACGCTTTACTTCTAAACTATTATAAACTCTACTTCTAAATGGTGAAAATCACTTTCTCAAAGAAAGGCACTGTATTATATTTGTAGGTAAAAGACATAAAAACATAGCTTGAACTCTAGAAGTTGAGTTTGCCAGCTTGAGGAGGGGGGAAGTTTGTTTTTTTTTTTGTTTGTTCATTTGTTTTTGTTGTTTTTCTAATTCTTTTTTCTTCCTTGTGAAACATCAGACTTAACAWGGGTGACCTGAATTCTGATAATCTTGGCATTACACAGTGCAGTGTTTTTACAGAGTCTTTGTTTCTGAAAGAACTTTGTCTTTATTTTACAGGACTAGAAAGTTACATTTTCCATAGATGTAATCTTCTGCCTGCTGTGATGCTCCACCCTGAGTGATGGCACATGCAGCACTGACTAGCACTGGCGAATGAATGAGATTTCTTGCAATAAGGTAGGTTTCACTCTTTTATAATTACACTTCTGTTTAATATAAGGTTTTCCTAACAGGTTTTCCAAGTCTTTCACTTCACCTGGACTTTTCATTGGTTTTGGTGGCTTCCTCTGTGTGGGTATTTAYGCAACAAAGTTATTAATGAGTCCAGGTGTTGTAGTGAGCTACAGTGTTCTGTGAGCTTTCATTCGCCTCAGAGCCTTGTTCCAAAGCATTCTTGGGATTTTGTGACTGTTGCCTGTGACTGCAGGTATACTTTCTAGTCCCTGTGCACGTGTCATCAGAAAGAGCATATCTCAGCATTCCATAGCCAAGGTTGTTTCCTAACAGAATGSCTTAATGAGAGTGATTTGAGAAGGTTTGCATGCTACTTATGATATTATTCTTGTTATTAATGGACATAATCTCTGGTTGAAGTGCAGTGCAATGAGTAGATAATACCTAATGGCCTTGGTTCTCCTTTACTATTTTCTCACTGGAGCTAAGAGACATATTGAGGTGAGAGTTTGTTACTTAAATGTGGGACTGGTGAATGTGACACAAAACCTGCMATAGACCCACAACCATCTGGAATGGCAGCTGAGCCCTTGGCAGGATGCTGTAGGGTATGCAAAGTRCACGAGTTGCCTGTGCTTAGCAGTCCTACCCTATATGTTAGATTTCTCTTTCAGGAAACTGTCAAAACTGGTTCAGTTTGGATTGTGATAGATAATCCCAGATTCATAGGTGATGTTGGAGTTGAGGGATACCTGGAGACTTTCAAGGAAAGGAGGGTTTGAATGGAGCAGAGCAAGACAAAAACTAGGAAGGTGTTGGACAGTAAAGGGGGCTTATTTTATTTTCCATTGATTGTTTTTCCTACTTATGCTCTTCATGGGCTGGCAGCTCACCACCTTCAAGTGAGTGACAACTTTTCTCAGTTGTTGTGCCATGCCTTATTTCCCAAAAAGAAATKTACTAATTGCTCTATGCTGTACTGCATCCCCTCACTGTGTACGAAGAGCAAGGGAAAATATTACTGTTGGTATCTGACATGTGGAACTAATTTGCCTCCTTTGGAGTTCAGGGAGAGGTCTTGGCTATTACAGTAGATGAAAACATTAGGAATTATAGGCACCTCACCTCGTGATGCTTCATTTGTAGTTTACATTTGTGATGATATACTGTGGATAAAATATGGGGACCATATCCTGGCCCCATTGAAATCAGTGGGAGTTTTTCTCTTAATTTCAGCTAGGCCATGACCCTGRGAATCTCTACTGGCTCCTGGTGAAAGATTTGTTCTATTCCTGCCCCTAACTAGACCTCCTCTAAGGACTTAGTTTTTAATATTGCCACTAAATCTGCTTCTTAGGTAATAATTCTCTCTTATTGAAATTTATTTGTACTCAATTTGGAGGATCCTCTGCTCAAAGGAAAACATGTTTCTATACCTATATTTTTCTATCCTTAAATATGGCAGTATTGTTAGAGGTAATTATAGACTGACTCTCAGGAAATAGTATCTGATGAGAAGAGAAAGGACTTCAGAACAATTTAGCAAAGGATAGGGTGGCAATCCTACAGGTAAGATATTATTATACAAGAGCTGCAAGAAACAAGGTTTAACTCTGAGAGAAAAGATAGATCACTTAATAGCTCTTTAATATCATCAGTTTCTATGATTGCAAATTCTTTCCTTGTGCATATTGTGGATTTTTTCCATTACTAACAGTTTGGATTTGACGAGCTTATCTTTTCCGTGGSTGAAAAGATGTACTTTAGTGTTATTCTTGCTTTAGTAAGACACTTTCATATTCCCACTGTTGGAGCTTTTACTGCTTACAGGTCATTCAGAATTTACAAGCCCTTTGACTAAAGGGCATCAGAATTCTTGTTTTCTACATAATATTTATTTTCTATCAGCTGATCAGTGAAGCTCTTTGCTCTGATGTAKTCCACTTATTGCATAGAGCAGGCATGAGTATATTAAAATTGTTGTATGACATATGAAGTTGAATTTTGATTGTCAAAACATGAATGCTTTATCAAAACTATTTCCGACTCTGAAATATTTTCTTAATGCAACTGTTAATTTCTTCTGAAAAAGAGATAAATGAAATGCTGGGTGTGCTCTCACCTGATACCTGGTTTATCTCTTTCAGTACCTCAGGCTCATCAGCTCCTATTGGAAGTTTCATTCTATTGGTGGACCTTGTTTCAGGAATTTTACAATGCTTTACATTAGAAATCTCTCCCAGTTTGGGCTGGGTTTTAAGAAGTACACAGTTTATGCAGTGTATGTGTCCATATCCATCTGCGTGCTCAAGTGTCCCTGTTGGGGGTTTAAAGTTGAATGGTAGAGATTTAAAAAATCTCTTCTGTGTGTTGAGGCCAAGTGTCCATATGAATGCTCTGTTATGCTTTGTTACACAAAATTATGCCAGGAAGGAAAGCCACAAAAGGATCAAGCCATTTATTGCCTTGGCCCATGGTGCTAATTTACCATTTTATGCTCCCTGCATTTTGCATCATTCCTTTAAAACTGTGCARAACCCATATTTTCCATCTTGAATTCCCTTGCCTTGACTCCCACAGATAAGTGYTCTGGCTCTGGCACTGCCTCCTGTCTAAGATGGTTAACATTGCCGAGGGAATGGGGGAAAGGTGTTTTCACCAGGGAAGAAATGTGGTGTCGATCTACCGTGGGTGTTGCTGCATTTAGTTCCCTGTGCTCTTCCTGGTGTCATTGTCACCTTGTCTACTGAACTGTGAGAGATGTTTAGGGCAGTCATGTTGAGTACATGTATATTATATATATAATAAACCAAAATATTCAATCTTGATAGTTCCTGTTACTTGTGGAACAACCAATATTAATTCTTTTCTTTGTTAATTAACTTGCCAAAGCAAACCWCTTATTCACCTGAAAGAATACCAAGCAAACAAGAGTCCAGTGTTCTTCTCACAGCTGTCCCAGATGTTCAAGTATTTGAAGTATCCTGTAGGTATAGCCTTAAACTAATTTGTAAAGAATGTAGTATAAATAAATCCATTTTTTTAATACAAGACTTTATAGTGATAAGAATGTTTGATGGAGKGAAAATGATTCAGTGCAATTTGTAACTTGGAGAACACAATACATTTGACTCCTTTTTCTGTATAATACAAAGAGTTCATCTGTTTCACAATGTTCATTTTTAATTAAACATTTTATCATTGCACAGCCTTTTATTGACATTCCTCATAATAGAGCTGATAAGATCTTGACCTACTCTTCAATACAGCAATGTATAACTCAATATTCTGGCACACAGTGTTCCCTTCAGAATTAAACACATGATTTTCTGATTTAATTTTAAARTGTTATGTACTTTTAGTCCCATTTATTTACTTTAACTTCCTAGATTTATGCCCTTTTTGACTTACGCATTTTGGATGTAACCGTTTCTTGGGCTGTCATTCCCATTTGCTCAAGCTTTTAGCTTCTAGATCACTTTTGTGAATCTTTTTCTCCTTTCTTTTTTTTTTTTTTTTTTTTTTTTTTTTTTTTTTTTTTTTTTTTTTTTTTTTTTTTTTTTTTTTTTTAATTTGCAATAAGAGGTGATTTATTACCTAATCTTATTTCTTACTGTACCTTTTGAGTTCAATTTTGATGAGGTGTGCTAACTTCACTCACTACTGCCTTAATCACAGAAAATCCTTAAGATACTTCATGGGAAGTGATTCCTGAAGATCTCCCCAAAGATGAATAACAAAGCTGATCCCTGTCAGTAACCTTCCAGAACCCTGTGATGATATAAAGCTTCCCAGGATCATGTTTTTATCCAGAATGATAAGAATCCCTGTAGCCTGGCAGGATTTTGTCACCTCCAGTGGATGTGCACCAGAGAAGTGGGAACCAGTCCCTTCAGTTGGTRGCAGCTGCTGTGGTGCTGCTGACATGGGAGAGAGCTGGAGACAAGCTGGCCATGGAGCAGCATTCAGAGGAAATAAGCCTAAATTAAGTTTCCATTACATGAAGTTTTAGTGTTACTCTAGATGTGAAAACCAGAATTCTCTGAGAATTTGCTGCAGCAAATCCCTTCTGAGCTGAGCACCCACTTACACATTGAAATGTTTGAAGACCTTCAGGTGCTGCAAGTTGTGTCTTGCAACTTCTTGACTCAAATTCTCAGTCATTTCCTCACCTCTCGCTGTATCAGCTGTCTCAGATGACAATCTCTCAACTACCTTGTGTTTCTCTTTCTTTATAAAGMCGTCTTTGCTGTTCATCCTGCTACTGCAGGCCTGCCACTATTCACTGTAAATGTATATTGATTTGAACTGATGATTTTGAGATAATATAATGAGCCTATTTGAAATTCCTTCATGTAATAAACCTGCAGAAAATGTAGAACTGCCTTGCATTTAGGAGGAGCTTCAAAGATGGGAGAATGCTCACCTCTTGAGGATGTTTTCCTTGCACTGTGGCAGATTAAAAAATCTTGTTTGGTCAGCATAGCAGAAGTTAAAAATCACACAGRACCTCTGAAGTAGAAAGTTACAATGTGTCTGGTGTGTATCTGTCAAAGTCAAACCTTCCAAGCTCTTTGGTTGTCAACAAGCTCTAGATCTTCATGGATAAATAGGTATGTAATAAATTTAAATAAGTACTTATTG